CTAATGCTGGGAAAGATTGAGGGCAAAAGAAGTAGGAGACGACAGAGAATGAAGTGGCTGGATGGAGTCACTGAAGCAGTCTGTGGGAACTTAAATGGACCCCGGGGGATGGTAAAGGACAGAAAGGCCTGGAGGAACCATGGGGTCACGATGGGTCGGACACAACTTCATGACTAATAATAACAAAGAAGGACCACTAGGTGAATAATGTCTAAATTATTCTCTAGGTGTATTGGAACAGAAGGCTTATAAACTACTGGCTGGGAGAATGGACATTTTTATCAAACATGTGCAGAATAAATGTTGGGGAAAGCTGCTCCTTAGTTGCCAATCACATACACACACACACATTTTGTCTCTTTTTGTGCCTCTCACCTCAGTAGGTCCACCCTCCTGGAAAGGGAAATTGGTCTCCCTGAGTTCCTTCCCCCATTGTCCTTGGTTCTTGGAATTGCACACGATGGTCCTTATGTCTCCATGAATGTCAAAACGTGCATTTAAGTGTAGTAGAAGATTATTGTCATCTTTGCCAAGATTTACTGCAAAACTGTGAAAGATGGACGAAAAAATAAGGTAAGGAAGAATTATAGAAATAGATTGATTTGTGGAATTTATATCCCTCTCTTCCAAAATCACTGAAACCAAAATATTTACAGGGCAATTTACTAGAGCATAAAACAAATTACTCCCAGCAGTATTTAATACAGTGTGCTGCATTTAAGCTTTATGAATTCATCAGCTTAGGTTAGCAAACAGTATTTTAGTGTGATGTGAAAAATAGTGGCAATGTGTACTTAAAGTATTTACCTGGCACCCTTATAAAATACTTTATTAACCCAATGTTTGGCTCAACAAGGCACAATGAAGTAAGCTGAAGTGTGCATACTGCAAACCAGAGATGGGTTAGTTTGCAGCAGGGGTGGGTTCCAGCTGCTGCTACTCTACTACCACTTTGCCGGTTTGCTCAGAGATACATTGCGTATGCGCACTTCACGCACATGCACAGTATTAAAAAGTTTTTGCGCATGCGCAGAAGCAAAAAAACAAGATGGTGGCACCGATGGCACCACCGAGAGAACTGGTTCAGGGGCTTTGAAGGCTGAGTTATACCTTCTTGGCCGAACCGGTCCAAACCAGTAGGAACCCATCTCTGGTTTGCAGTATGCTCCACAAAGGCAGCCACTGAGAATGATTGTGGTAGACTCTCCCTTTCTTCTTTCACATTGTAATCTGAAGCAAGTTCAGGTATTCTCTCTCACTCATACAAATGCTTCCCACTTCCTATTCTGATAAAGAGCAATAAATGAAGATAAGAATAAGCATGCATGAAGCAGAATGGGGATCATCAATGGGAATGGAAAATTCCATGCTGGTAATTTCACACCAACTTCAGGGTGAGTGGGAGCTGTGCAACATGATAATGGGGAACAGGCACCCACTGCCAATTCCAAGCTTTTCCAATCCCAATTTACAGCCTGGCAGCTGTCTCGCCTTCCCCTAAGGCGAGCTGAAGCAGTCACTTAGCAATGTTCTTGCTCAAGCATCTTTCTCAAAGATGATCAGTTCTCTTGGCTTTAATTAGTATCATCTGTCTCTTCCAGGGATCTTCCCTGCCTTTGGGGTGCAAGTGGGAGATGTCTGAGCCAAATAATGGGAATGATATTATTACCAGTAAGGGAAGAGTTGAGACATGTTGATCATCAGAATATCTGTCTCAGTGACAAAATACAGACTCCCTCAAGACTCTCTGCAGAGGCCTAATACACTCCCCATCAACATCATTGGTGCTTGCTAGGGGGTGTTAAAAATTGTCTTTAACTAGAAATGATGGGAGCTTAAAAGCAGTAGATGTGGAAGTCACTCACTTGGGTAAGCCCATTGTGTAGACAGAAGAGCATCATTTTCATAATATCCTGCAACCTTTCTCTTTCAAATTGTACCTTTGTCTGTAAGCTTTTTTGGCAAGATGCTCTAAAATATTTTCCTGCCCAGACCTGTTCCTCCTCTACAGACCCAACACTCACTTTTGCTTTCATGCCAAGCCAAATATTAAGGACTGATTATAGCACTAAATGGTGCTGATCATGCAGTGTTTTTTCCAAGAAAAAGTCTCCAGCTGCTTTCCTGATATTGGTGAGAACTGGAAGAACGTGCATGCAGTTTTAAAACTTTTTAGAATCATAGGTGAGAGCTGTTGGTGAGGTGGCTAAAGCATCAGGCTAGAAACTGGAAGGTTGTGAGTTCTAATTACATCCTGGGCCCAATGCCAGCTAAGTATCCTTGTGTTAGTCACTTTCCCTCAGCCCTAGGAAGGAAACAATAGCAAACCACTTCTAAAAGACTTTGCCAATGAAAACTGCAGAGATTGGTCCAGGCAGTGTCTGAGAATCAGACATGATTGAATAGAAGGGGGAGAAATGCGGCATAAGCAATGATCAAATATCCATTTCTTGGGGGGGGGGGGAATCTCCAAAAGTGAAATACCAGGCTTTGAAAAAAAAATCAAGATATTTTTTCTCAGCTTTATGAGAACAGACTTTAGGCATCTCCCACAATTCCTAGCCTGAATGACATTTGAACGTGCTGGCTTGAGCTACTGATCTGTGAGCCAACACATTTGGAGGAGACTTGGTTGAGGAATGCCACAGTATGAGTCAACAAGTGGACAAACGTTTGTCTCTGAAAATGGAGATTCAAATTGGAAACCACAGTCAGAAGAACATATGTACAGTTTTCAAATCATCATGCTCATTCCTTCTAGAAGACCACCAAATGCAGGTTACTGTGAATAGGAGAGAGACAAATTCCAAAAGGAGACCAGAGGAAGACAGAAAATGGGGCTGTTGCCCTAACAGCTGGTTTTATTTAGTTTCTTGGCAGGAATAGCAGAGAGCAGGGGGGACGTGTTCAGATATGAGTCACTGGGAAATGTTACAGTGGCATTAACTCCTTTCTTGCAAATTGTCCATGGAGATTCTCAATCATCTAGGACATGGTTGTCCCAATGATGTTTTTTTCTCAAAATATGTTTTGCCTTTTGGAAAAAAAAAACAACTTTGGGATCTTTTAGAGTAAGAGGAAGGAAGAAGCAACAGGAGTCTTCTGTTTCATTAGTGAGAACTACTAAGTTCTTCCTCCTACTCGCATAGACCCAGACTATATTGTACTGTAGTTCCCTGAAGAATATATCAGTGTAGAGATATCTGCACCGTGGTGGCGCAGTGGTTAGACTGCAGTACTGCAGGCTACTTCTGCTGATCACCGGCTGCCAGCAGTTTGGCAGTTTGAATCTCACCAGGCTCAAGGTTGACTCAGCCTTCCATCCTTCCAAGGTGGGTAAAATGAGGACCCAGATTGTTGGGGGCAATATGCTGACTCTGTGAATTACTTAGAGAAAGCTGTAAAGCACTGTGAAGCAGTATATAAGTGCTATTGTTATATGCAAGAATCATTATATAAACAAAGAGGACTAAAACACTATTTAAGTCTCAGAAAGCAAGGTAGTATCCAGAAGTAATTCAGGCAATCTCATCCCTGATTCACCAGGACACAAGGAGAAGGGAAGTAATACACATCAGGTGTTCAAGATTCCAGTATTATATCTTATCTCAATAAAGTACAGTTCTAATTTAATGTGGACTTGATTTTCTGGTCTGGCCTCCTGATGGGATTGGCAATTAGACAGGTACAAAGACATTTCTTTATGTTATTTAACAATAGCTCCCAGTCATTTTGGAGGAAACCATTATGATTAATTTTAACAATCTGGCATCTTCCAGATGTGTTAGATATCACCTCTTACTGTACACTTGGTCATCACCTGGTGGGGAATGCTTCTATGAACCAATACAAGGTTCCATTACACATGAATCTAAATATGTTCCAAATTATCTTTTTAGAGATGCCATCTTACCTCTTACATCCTGATGGAATATCACCTTTCACTGTTATCTTCTGGCCAGGTGTAACGTTCAGATTCGTACAAACAACTCCCTAGAAAAGGAATTCCAAAAGCATTTAGTGAGTTGCTCCTGTAGCCCCCCCTTGTAGGAACCCGCCCCCCGGCAAATTGGAATCTACATCTATTATGAACAACCGCTGTTGGGTTATTTGAAATTTCAACAACTTGCTGCATTGATAAAACATATTATTGTACCAGGTGACAGAGAAATATGGTCATATAGTATTTACTGTCCTTTAATTTCAAAACGGATGAATATTCAAATTAATATAATAAAAAGTGAACAATCAAAACCTTTTAAAGTCTAATTATTTTATCACAGGAAGGGATTGCCAAGAAAGGTTCTATCCTTTCCTAAACTAAAGTCCTCTAAATATGGAGGAAATCGGGGGTTTAGCCTGTGTTGAAATTGCTACCGTATTCTATTGTTTGAATTACTTTTTTTTAAAAAAAATCAAATGTACAAATTTTTAAAAAATACAAGTAGATTTTACTCAGTGTTAAACCAGTTCAAAGAATCATTCTAGAAATGATTGCAGTATCATCCAACAATGGAATCAACCTTGTAATATCTCTAGAGGTTAACTGGGTCGAGAAAAGGTGTTCTAAGCAAATAAAAGTGGTACAAAGTTAATTGGATTAACAGCAATAAAGTATATTCATGAATTGCCCCCATAATGCACTTGGATATTTGTTTTGTTCCCAGGTTAGGATACTGTCACATAGCAAAGTAGTCCACTAACCAAAAAACCAATTTATATTTGACACTTCACTCTGCTGATTCAAATAATGTTTGGCCAGGGAAAAAAAATAGGAATGATATTTCTGCATAAATCAGAAGGGATAGCATAACTGGTTATTTCTCACAACATTTAATATTATTAGTTGGGAGATTTATAATTTGCACTGTGTTTACAGGAAAAACCCAGGAAATTAATGATTCCATATTTGCATGGCACATTAAGATGTTATCTTTTAAGTCGGCAGTTCTGCTGAGAATGAAATGATAATCATGCAATTAGATTATTTGTTGCTATTGACAGGCAAAACAAAAATCCTCCCCTTCCTTTATTTAATTAATAATAATAATAATAAATACATAAGAGTGGCCATAACTGTGACCAAATACTCTAGCATTTGTCACTGTGTGGTTCTAGACTGCTGAATTAAGGCAACTATGAAACAACAGAAAGAGACATTTTTATCCTGCTCTCTTTGAGCTGGCATTCTTTTGCCTTCAGACCGTAACTACTGCAGCCTCATCCTGCTTTTTTCTATCTTGCCAAACCTAACAGAGCTGAGAGGAGAGGGACAAGAACCAGGCTGAGTCATGATGATGCCAACTGCCCTTTCTCTTGCTTCAGGCTGAATTTCACTATTGGAACGGCTGGGTGAGAGTAGCAGAGAAATGCTTCAAACCATAGCCATCTTCTACAGGGGAAGGGCGGCTCCTGCCCATTTGACTGTCTCTGCCAGGAATATGGGAATGGGGAAGGAGGTGTTCTGATATCGCCATCTGATAGTTAACTTCTCCACACTAATTCATAAGTGGAAGCTTGTGGAAAATCTCAGAAGTAAAAGATGGCAACATGAAAGTTTTCAGTCCCTTCCTTTATGGGAAGAAGGCCACGTTTGACTCCTATCATATTGATCCTGAATGCCTGAGGTGATTTTCTTCAGGAAAACAGTTTTCAATCCCTACCTGCTATTCAGAGAAATGGCTTACAAAAGCCTTTGGGGTCTGCTTAAGAGATTAAAATTGGCACCGGAATGGACAGGCTCACAAAAGAGCAAAAGAGGAATCCGAGTACTACTTAGTATGGGACTTATGGTATAATTGGCTAGAGGAAAGAGGAAAAAAATAGGAAAGTAATAAAGGGAAGAAAAAAGATTTTAAAAAACCACAAAATAAATACAAAACCGCAGAATTAACGGAGGGGAAAAATATAAGATTGACTGTAGATAAAAATAGTACGAAACATGTAACATAAGAGGATCAAATATATATAAAAGATGTAATGTATAGAATTAATAGAGATAAAGGATATGTAAAATATGTATATAGATATAGTATATAGATATAGTTATATAAGATATATGTATAGATAAAAGAAACACAATGGATATGTAAAAGATGTAGAAGTGCTGCAAAGAAGATATACATGTATAAATAAAATTACAATTTTTTTAAAAAAGAGAATATTATAATATAAGTCTAGCACTATTTTAGCACTACTCAAAGTCTTGGGGCAACTTGGTGTGGCTCAGGCTGGCATAGACTTGCAGGGGTGTTGCCCTGTTAGGCCTTTCCTCACCTTATCTACCATTTTCTCTCTTTTATGGGGAACTTAAGTTTTACAATAGACAAAAAAAAAATGAATCTTTCCCCATTTTTTTTTTTTTTGGTTGAATGGCAGGAAGGAATATTGCTTGCTTGAGTTCTGCTTTGGCTGCTTTATAAAAAAAACCTGTAGGCATCAGAAATACTAGGATTTTTTTATAAAACATACTTTGCCAATTTTAATATCTTTTTTTTAGATATGGTGAGGAAAGGCCAACATGGCAACACCCCTACAAGTCTATGCCAGCCTGAGCCACACCAAGTTTCCCAAGATTTTGAGCCTCCCTTTTATTTATTCCCCCCAACAGATGTCTTCCGTTCCTTCAAATCTCTGGATTTAAAATAGTGCTAGACTTATATTATAATATTGAGATTACAGAGTCTGCAAAACCAGGGGCTTCCATCAGCAGTTTTTCCAGCAGTTTTTTGCAGCTACTGCAAAATTGGGAGAAAGCGGATAGGATGAGAATTAGGGAGACAAAAATTATTAAGCTGAAGCAAATGTAAGCCAAACTTCTCTTCTCAGATATACTTCCACAAACTTTTCCCAAATCAATTACAATAATCTCATAGCTATTCAATACTTCAGAAACCCTGTGCTAGATAGAAGCCTGTTAAGAGAACACACATTCTATTTAACATTTTTAGCCAGTTTCACCTTTCATTTTGGTGCTACTACAATGACAGCTTTTAGGAAAAATTAATCAGCCAGCTCAAAAATAAAGGTCCACTTTCCATAAAGATCAGAGTAGATTAGGGTATCTCGCCTCTGTTTGCAACAGCAAGACAGCAAGATACTCTAATCTAATTTGAATGCATGAATTCAGTAATAGCTGGCATCCTTAAGTATCATACATCTCTGTCCCATAAACTCACAGGCATGGCTCTGTTCCTTGTTCCTGCAGCTCACGGAGAAGATCCTACGCAGAGATGAAGGGAACTATGATGCCACTCCCTTGCTTTTAAATACTCTGCAACTGAGGAATTACAGATGCAACCAACCAATAGAAAAGCAGCAGTGAATGATGGCTGGAAGGATTATCAAGGCAATTGTTTGTGGGGGATGTGGCAATGTGGCATAGGGTTTTTTCCCCATTATTCATTGAGGCCAATGCAAAATACTTTTACAATGAGAGGGTTTTATTGTCCAAGATCTCTTCCCTCCCCAATTTAAATTGAGTAGTTGGCAGGCACTTTCTAGGCTTCTTTATTGTAAAAGCCTATAAAGACCAGAGCCAAAAGATTCAGAGATATTTGAATAAATGGCTTTATTTTAAAAAAAAAAGAAGTGGGGGAAGCTTAAACCACCAGTGCTGAATTAATCTATTGTTAAGACATGACTCTTATATTTAACTGAAGATATCTAATTCACGTCCAACAACAGTGATGGTTACACATTCATTATTAGATTGTTTTGTTATCGGACTTCCTTCCAAACAGAGATTTTATCCTAATGTTTTACTCTTACCTGTCATATATCCAGGGTGAGACAGAAATACAGTTGATTTTGTCTCAGGAAGGATTGCAGTGTGGTTTTCCTTAACCAGAATGATTCAATTTTAGAATATTTTGTGGATTATTTTCTGGGTCCTTCAAGTCATTTTCCCCATGAAAACAGAACATAGCCATCAACAGTTAATATGACTAGCCTAAAATCTTATGATCTGTGGGAGGGCTTACCAGGGATCATAAGATATTTTGCATTTTCCCTCTGAGGCTGGAGGAAGAATGGGGAATTTGGTACTGAAAAATCCTTCCACAAAATTTCAAAACCACATCTTTGTCACACCAGAAAATCTAACAATGGGAAGGATCAAAAGGAGGTTCGCAGAATGAAGCTGTAAAACTACAACATGCTAGATGAAAATTCTGAAAGTTGCAAATTCATTATTTTTGAAGGGCATTGGGCTAGAGTTAAGTAGTATACCTAGACTCCTTTATTTAGACCTCTATTTTTCTTTCTCCATGACATTAGTTGCCAGCACTTCATAACCTTGCTGCTCCCAACTTTGCAAACTGTAAGGATATTCTAGGCAGCACCGTGACAAAATGAGCATTGAAACTTTTCATCAACACTCAATGGTTTATGAAAGGCAGAGGGAGAGGGAGCCATGAATGGATGTTCACATTGAAAGAGGTACAATATAACATATAGCAAAAGGAAAAAAAAACAGGCTATATTATGTAGCATAAAAAACAAACTGAAAACAGGCAGTAAGCCCCACACTCACTCGCACTGAGGCTGTAACACAGTTGGGTAATAAAAAGCAAATAACCAATCTAAGATAGCAACAAGTTCTCAACACAGTTCAATCCTGAGCTACAGATATTATCTTCTATTCAAACAAGCCATAATACCAAGCAGTGAGTAGAATCATTGTATTGGTTTTGTCATTTTGATAGGTCATCCATCCTGGTTTCTATAACTTAAAAAAAATCAATTGTTCCACTGTAAAGTCACCTGATAAGAGCTCAGGTTTGGTCCAATGCTGCCAAAAGGCAAGGTGGGAAGCTCATTAAATTGAAATGTGTTGAATTGTTTAGGCAAGTGGCCAACTTTCAGATCCAATATAATCCCTTAGGTGGGTTTGACTTGGTGATAACCCAACTGGCTTCAGATGGAGTTAACAGAAGAATTTAGTACAGAAGCAAAGACTTCTCAGTAATTTCTCCAGAACTTGAAAGTGACCAGGTTTTGATGTATCATGCTAATTGTGAGTCATGGCATCAAAAGAGGACTTTTTCAAATGGAGGCTAGAGGGTGGGGAGAATAAGTTCTCTGATGAATTAAATCTGCAGAGTAAAGAAAAAGAAAGCCAGAGGCAAAACGTCTATTTCTGTGCTTTGTGGTTTTGCTTGTAATTTCATCTCAAGGCAGTTGAAGTCCTTCCAAGAGTTTCAGAACAAACGGTTGTCTTTTGCTCTACTGCACTAACTTGCTTATTATAGTATTAATGGATCCCATATTAGCATTCGCATGGAACTCCGGAATTTAATGCATTGATGATATATATGTGCAAAGATATAAGAGACAGTTGCAGAGAGTGAATGCTAGATCTAGAAAGCATGGAGATATCTTTTCTCCCAACCACTTTTCAGCAACAAAATCACTTATCCATTTCCAGGGTATTAGTCTTGATTTAGCTTTATACATATAATGTATGATGGAGGGGTAAATAGCTGCTGGCCTCTGTTTCCTACACTTTAGAGCTAGGTTAGCTACTTTTCTTTAATCCTGCAGCCTCATTAGTGCTCTGTAAGCTTGGTTCTTTCCTTGCAGATGTTTAATTACCCCAGTAGTAATTACCCCATCTTCAGAGCAGCATCAGCATGCTTTTCTGTAATGTAGTCCTTCAAACTCACCAGACATGATTTTAATGTTCCCTCCATTTCCCCTTCTCCCCTCTGGTGCAAACCTACAGAAAAGAGGGGTGTTAACCTTTCAATAAGCTTGTTTTAGTTTTTTTGTTCTTTTTAAGCAATCCTAATTCCTATCTGTCAGACCTGAAAATTGAGGCTGGATTCCCTCTAGTAATGCTACCATCAATCAACACAGTTCTCCAGGCACAAATTATGCCTACTCATGAATTAAGCCAGGGATGTCAAACTCGGTTTCATTGAGGGCTGCATCAGGGTTGTGGTTGACCTTGAGAGGGGGTGGGGGGATGGCCAGGTGATCACAGCTGACTGGGTGGTCGTAACCGGGGTGGGCTTGGCCAGCTCAATGTCACTCATGTCAGTGGCACCTGTAGTGGCCCGGGTGGTGCTGAGGGATCCATTGTCTACAATGCATGCCCAGGGAGTGGAGCGGGGCAGGGGTAGCCCCTCACTACCTCCAGGGCAGCCCCCTAGATCTAAGGCTGATCGTGTTCTGGCCCGGATGGTCACCACCAAGTTGCAGATCAGTGCCAGGCTGGCCTGGGGCTGAGGCACTAAGGGCCAGTCCTTCATTGTTTTCAAGGCAGCCCCACATGCCAGATCTAACCACATCGCGGGCCAGATGCGCCCCATGGTCCTTGAGTTTGACACCCATGAATTAAGCAAAGGAAAGTGCAAGTTTCTTGTTTTAAACTATTTCTCTGTCCTATACACCATTTATAGTGGTAGAGGATAGGAATATTTTGGAGGAAACAGTAAGTCATAGGAAAGCATGAATAGTAATTTTGTGTTATTTCCCTTATCTGTTCTGGAATTCCCACGGGAGCATCTATGTGGGTTCTTTCGATTCTAGCAGATTCAAAACAAGTTA